AAAAAAAAAAAAAAAAAGAAGAAGAAAATCAAGGACCCCGAGAGAGGACCGCACTTCCCCATGAGGCACCGTCAGCCTCAGTGATGTATTTTCCCTCCAATTCAAATTCACTTTTCTTTTTTGGCAGGCTCTACGGTGGGAGTTATAAAGGAGGTGAATGTGAGTCCGTGTCCCAGCCAGCCCTGTGAGCTCCACAAAGGCCAGTCCTACAGCGTCAATGTCACCTTCACTAGCGGTGAGTAAATGTGGTGACTTTACCTCCAATTCATGTCGAACCATAATAGAAATGGGAGGCGTTGGAATGAGCATAGGAATGTAGGGGACCATGGCTTGGCCGTCAAGAATGTGTCAGCCTCCTCTCTGACTTGCACAAAGCTAGAATTCACTGTTTGCTGGACAGGACAGAATCTGGGTCCGTAACTCTCCATTACTTGTCCCATTCTGAAAGGAAACCGGGAGGACTGGATTGATAAAAGGAAGCATATTTAACTTACAGTTCTGGCTAGAAGTAGGGAGGGGAGAAAAAAAACCCGAAGTAGTTTCACAACGTATAAAAAGGATGTCGTAAAAGCCGGGAGCCGTGCCGACTTCAGCTGTGAGTCAGAACTGTGTGCGCGCCTCTCTGAAGCCAGGGTAGCAGTCTGCTGTCTCCCAGCAGGAAACCCCTGCTAGGTCCTGAGACCCCCTTTCTCATCCTGGGCTCCTGCTGTCTCCAGTGCAGCCCTGGGGACCTGACCGAGACAGCGAGAGGTGGAGAAAGGACAGACACCAATGTTAACATTCTGCATCATGTTCCTTCAAGCCAGGCTGCAGAATCATGAGCCCAGGAGCGGCCTCACATTATAGGAAATGCCAGGCTGGCCACGGCCACATGGAGAGACCTCATCTCAGTGGTTTTAAACCTTCCTAATGCTGCAACCCTTTAATACAGTTCCTCATGTCATGGTGACCCCACCACTACCTTAAAATCATTTTTGTTGCTGCTTCATAACAGTAATTTTGCTGCTGTTATGAACTGTAATAGCTGATATTCAGGGTGTCTGATATGTAACCCCTGTGAAAGGGTTGTTTGACCCACAAAAGGGGTTGAGACCCATAGGTTGAGAACTGCTGCCTTATCTCCAAAGAGAAGAAAGGGGGTGTGTGAAATGGCTCCCTGGGTATGGCACTTGTCACCAGCCTGGATACTTCAGTTCAGTCCCCAGAACCCACATGGTCAAAGGAGAAAACATTCCTACAAGTGCATTGTCCCATACTATACACACACGCACACGCACGCATGTACACACACACACACATACGCACGCACGCACGCACGCGCACACACACATGCATGTACACACACTCTAAAGGCAGAGGTTGTGCACCAGATAGAGATGGCTCAGTACTTAAGAGAGCTTGCTGCTCTTGAAGACCTAAGTTGGGTTCCCAGTACCCACGTGGCAGCTCACAACCGCCTGGAACTCCAGCTCCAGGCCATCCAGTGCCCCTCCTCGGGCTTGCACAGGCACTCACACATCTGTGCGTGTACACACACATAAACCTAAATGAAAATAAAATTTTAAAAAGTGTAAAGAATCTAGACAAGCCGGGCGGTGGTGGCGCACGCCTTTAATCCCAGCACTCAAGAGGCAGAGACAGGTGGATCTCTGTGAGTTTGAGGCCAGCCTGGGCTCCAGAGCGAGATCCAGGAAAGGCGCAAAGCTACACAGAGAAACCCTGTCTCAAAAAAA